TCTCGACGGTGCTCAAAGTAAATACTCTCGAAGTAAAGTGTATTGAATGATCTTGGAGGGTGTTACATTCCCATATTTATATGGGAGTGAGGGTTAATGTACCCTTTATATTTAGAGATACTTGCGGTTAGAAGTCTCGATGCTTCTTAGGGTTAGGGTAAACACTCCCTACCTTTTAAGATATTCTATCGGTGGGGTTAGAGTAAACCCTCCCTATATTTAGAGATATTTGCGGTTAGAAGTCTCAATGCATCTTAGGGTTAGGGTAAACCCTCCCTACCTTTAGAGATACTCTATCTGCGGGGTTAGGGTAAACCCTCCCTATATTTAGAGATAACCGATCTCAACAATTGTAGCCTTCGAATTTCTATTCTAAGTAAGATGGAACTGCCAAAGCGTCGTTTCTGGATACCTCCTTGGTATGAACTTTTTTTGTTTACTTCCGATTCTTTGGTAAATTCTTTGATTTATTCACGAGTTTGATTGCTGAAATTGCTGCTTGTCAAATGTAATGATCCTTTCAACACTAAGAAGGTTAGCTCCGTGCAAAACAAGATCATTCCATCCTCTGAGCGTGCATTTCAAACTTCTTCACAGCCTGTTCAGCTACTTCAACTGTTATACTCTCTAGCTGTCAGAGTTTTTATAAATAAATAAATATATATATATATATATATATTTCGTTAATCTTAAGGTTCGAGATGTGGTGACAAACTGTGGCACCCGAAAGTACTTACATCTCGTTCTTCTTTGCAACAAAGAGATGGAATACTAGGGTAGTGCAAGTTAGTGAGATTTCTGTAACTAATTTCGAGAATGTTTCTTGGAAATTCCTTGAGTATACGATAAAGGACGAAAACATAACTGATCTGCGTAATAACCTCAAATCTGCATATAACTACGTAAATTGAAACACGGCTTAGAATGGCCACCCTGGTATCAGTCTCCAGTCCCAAAGGGCGTAAGCTCCAATCCCACAGCCATCATAGGATGTACGCAATCCCAAACCTATGTATACGCTTGCTGTGAATCTTGTACTGCTGTGACATAAGTGCTAGTGCACAATCATGACGATGATGAGAACTCGTGAAATACCTTCTAGATCATTCTTGGGAAATTGTGAACCAGATGACAACTGTATAAGTAGCATGAACTGCATTAGCCAGAAATCAGAAACAACAAGAAATTTATAGCAACAGGCATGCGAAGACCCATGAAACCAAAAGAATAAGATGGGCCTAGACCTCAAGAAATAGGGTTCGACAGATCTAAAACTCGCTTTTCTTCATGTAAATCAACGAGAAGGTCAGGATGCTGGGAGTCCCGTAGAGTGGGGATGCAGAGCCTTTGAACAGATCGATGACGAACGTCTTAGTGTGCAGCATCCGTCTTTGTCAGTACAGTACTTTGCGGACTGTGATGACTTATTCCGATAAAAAATATTGACAGCACTTGATAATCAGTACAATTGAAAGTTTGTCGTCCTGTATGACCGCAAAAGACAGTTGCAAAAAACCAAACTGAACTTTGCCTAGTAGAAAGAAAATCTGGTGGCCATCACGAGAATATGCTGCTCTGTAGTCAAACTGGAGGACTCTAAAATCAGAATGCTCTCACCTACATTAGGTCCAACAGTCTGCAGCACAAAGGCTCGAACAAAGGGTTTCGGTGTCCGAAACCTGATTTGCAGCGATCAAGAGAAGTTTCACAGTATCTTCGAGAATCTGATTTCTGTGAAGCTCTGGATATCAGATATTTCGGAAAGAAGACGCAAGCCAGCAGATTTATGTGTTGAGATCTGAGAACTAGGCAGGATTAGAACAAGCACATTTTATTCATAGTCTACCTCGAGTATTTAATGGCAGGTAACTGGCCTGAAACTGTGGACAACTCTCTCTCTCTCTCGCGTGAAAGTGAGACCGGTCTCCCTGCTTTAAAAAGTGCCCTACCAGCCACACAATTTGTTCTTGTGGACGGAAGTCGAAGTTCTCTGACAAATTCAGGAGTGCAGAAGACTTGACAGAAATGAAAGGCGCTCGAACTGATTGTTTCTCGGCTTGGGACATTAAGAAGCACAACAAACGCGAGAAAACATTATTCCTGCGGAAATGCAACTGGGACTGATTTTCTCATGAATGCAAACCTATTCATGAACTCAGATTGGAGGTCAATCATAGTGTTCCCCAGCCAAGCCAAAAGGGCCAGCAGTGCGCATATTTCTGCAGCCATATAGCGCGTCTGTTCTTCTTGCACGCACATTTGCGTCAACCCGCCCGCCGTGCGATCGTTCCACATTCTTGGGAAAAGGTAAAACTGCTAGTTACCTTTTGATGTTAATAAAGGTCTATTGTAATCGGAGTCTGAACTATATAGATCGAATAAGTTCAATCGTGACTACCGGACGAATCACTCGATTGATTCCTTCACATTTCTGAGGTTAGATGTCATTCTGAGCTAGCCATGAGCAGATAGTGAGAAATCTCTTCAAGGGGAGTTCTTATTCTGCTCGTACAAGTGAATCTGATGTCATAGAGAGTGTCGCTTTTGACTGTGAAGGACGTGGTTGAGAACATTTTGAACATCTGCCACCTATTTTTCTACAAAGTTCACAATCGTTACGAGTTATATCAAAATAGCTGGATGGCGCTCATACTCAAGAGGTCGGTGGATGGCTCACTATGGCATCGACCCTCTCGAGACACCCAGTGAAAAGCTGCAGAGGATGATGTGTGACCAGCTGAAATCGCCCCCGCATCAGGTCTCCATTATTTAACGACATGCAGAATGATGGAATGCAGTGTCAGTGTACAGCTCTAGTATGTCGGTCCATCATCCTAGAGAATACTCCATCGACTACTTCCAAGAGTCCAGACTTGAACTACGCGGAGGTCCATTATGGCAACTTCCTCCGTCGATGAGCTCCACTTCTTTCTCCCTTACGTCGCCGTTTCAACTCGTGTCTCTGTTTCTTACACTTGCCACTTCATCTTGTTCTAGTCACGTACATGATCCGCAGACTGCACTCATGCCGTCTGGAGCCTTCTCTTTTGGTCGGTGTGATCATTTCTGGTAGGGTACATCTCTCTACATGGTAGTAAATGGAATGATTGCTGACCCTACACTCACAGGACGAATCTGAATGTCGGTACCTTCTTTTGCAAAGAAACAGAGAGAACCTTTTCTTTTTATGAATCTGCAGTCCTGCTTGTATCCAACGGCGCTGCTAGCAAAGTACCGAAGACCTTTCAGTGTCGAGCAAGGGCGTCGCCTTTTCTGTGGTGACGCAGTGTTCCAGTTTGTATGGCTCGAGATTTAGGAAGCTCGAAACTCGATTGTGCGTAAGCTGATTCTAACCAATATTGGTTGGATGGTTGAGGAAAAAACATGCGTGCAGCTCATTCGTATATCGTGAGAAGCATCCATTCCGGACAATTCAGATCTTGTTCGACCTTCTGTATTTGAGGCTTACGACATGTTGGTGTATCTGGTCAGACCGTTTGTGGGTCTAGAGCAATTGATCAACGCAAACTGCACGTAGCTTATACACAAGTTTTCCTTGGATGCCAGCTCCAGACGTGATCTCTCTATCCATAAACATCATCAAACGTATGTAACATGTGCAAATGCTTGTCTCTTTCCGAGTGAAGCTTTGGAGGGGTGTTCATCGGTTCTCTCTTTCTTCTCATCATCGATCCCCAGTGTGATTTGTTGCAGTAGCTGCACCTACTCCTGATGGCATGAAATCTGCAACAATTGGTATGACTGTCCAATCGCGAGCCTTGGAAGTGTCCAGCTCTGCGTCGGCAGTGGCTTGCGGGCACATCTTTGTCCATGTGAGCTACGCTAAGGCTTGCAAACATTTTTTCAAGTTGAATCCTCCTTAACCTGCACGCTCTTCTTCCCTAACAGGATGAAGGCGCCCTCATATGATACTACGTTCTCTCAGAGCGAAGGCCAACGGCGGAGACCGACGAAAAGTTAGTCACAAGGTTCAGATTTGAGAATTTATAATTTAGTACAACTGCTATCAAAAAAAGTGCCACTTTTTGTTTCTGCCCCTTTTCAGTGAGGATAGACATCTGAACTCAATCTCATTTGACGTATCAACAGCAGATTTTACGTGTGCATTCAGGTATATTGATTTAAAAGATTCTGAGTTCGAGAGACTTTAACATCTAAATATATAAATAATACCACATTATCCTTTCTTCACATTAATGTACTTGTGTTACAAGATTGTCATCACATTGGACAATTGTCATGATGCATACAAAAATCATTTCGAACATTCTCTCTTTATTCAATTTCATTCATAAACAAGTTGGCTGTATCTGAATTCTCCACTTTCCTAAAGCACGGGATGTAACGATGGCCATATATCGTGAGCGTAAATCCTAAAGCCACATCTGGTCTTGGCCCTTCCTACCTACGAGGTCAGAAACGGCATGAACATTTCGTGTAAGGCAGGGTACTGTCGTACGAAAAACAGGGAGCATGAAAGCTTTACTGAAAGCACAATCCGAAGGCACCTTGTCAAGGCAAGCCACGACACCGTAAGAGATGTTGTCCAATTAGCCGGTAAGATGTTGCGTTGACTGAGTATCGGGTGAACTTACAAAACCGAACCTACGAATATGATTCCGAAACGGCCAACATGACAATCAAAGTCTTGTTGTTCCGTAATGAATACACTTGGCCAGATGTTTTCTCTTCTCTCGTGCTCTGCACCGACGTGTAACTGACACTAGCGGAAGGTTTACGGTTGACAATTATTTTGTCTGTTGATTACGCAGCCAGCAAATTTATGAAAGCATTTGTTGTCTATGTACGACTTGATTATCTTTGGATGTTTTTCAAGGTTTGCTGATTGGTAATGGCGATAGTTCGACCTGGCTGATCATAACCCAGCTTCTACTGGTGCCTTACACACCAACCACTACTACCGATCTGAGCTCCTCTGGCTGAGAAATCTGATTTCTTTTTTTCTGGACTCAGCTAAAATCCACATTTCCATATAAATTATTAATAAAGATAATAAGTATCGCTTGTAGTAGAAAAGATTGAATTTATGACAACTTTTTTTCTTTGTACAAAGAATACCCTGAATGAACAAATCCTAAATTTCTGTACGGATCACTATCTCGCAACAACCCTCGGGTTATCTGTGATGCACCTTGTCAAATGGTGAACTGCTTTGCCTAGTTTGTCCCTGTACACCTAATGGACGAAACTTCTTTTTGCTTCCTACCTTCAACATGCTCTTTACAGGAAGCAATAACTCGGACCCTGAAAACACTTTGATTCTAATATACACAAGAAAACGACAGAAGACTTCAAGAGTTTCAGACTATTTGGACGGAATGTACGATCCGTGGAAACCATAGGGTACTCTTTGAGGCAAACGTATTCTTGCTACCGGCTTTTCGTCGAATTTCTGACTGTCAACAATGATCATCTGTAAGCACATCATAATTGGATAGTTAGTGCTGATGGTTCATTCTAATGAATCTGCTTCATTGTGTAAAGTCAATTTACATCTTATTCCCTGCACAAAAATGTCATATAATTGAAGAAGAATGGACAAGATAATTTCAGATGTAATCCTAAGACTTTGATTTTTAGCATGCATGAGAGAACTTACGTCAGATTGATGTGTTTCTTCATTGTGCACATAGGTTACTATCCATCCATCGTCCTCGATCGTAGAACCTGGCCTGGGTACGAAAACTGGCTCTGAAGTGAAAGTGTTTTCTCCCACTTCATGAAAGTCAGCCTGCGCAACACATATTTTAAGTTAGTATGCTCGATTGGTTGCGTAGATATTATTTTATTTATATGTATATACTCGACAATGAAGTGTATGTCAAAGGCGCTCACCCGCTCATCTTCAGAAACATGTACCTTCACCAGTCTTCCGTATTTTGGATACCCTGTCAGGCATATTATAGTAATTTGTGAATAACGTATCATTTTCGTATCTTTTTATTTCAATAGGTCAGTACACTACAAATCTAAACATTTGCTCCGATCTCAGTAAGAAAATGCGTGAATATGATGAAATCATGTCACAAAGATCAAAATTGCAGACAACGTATAGCTAACCATAATTCGTATGAAAACTGTATGAAGGGAAAGTAATATATCTCTTACCAACAGCTTTGCTTGCGTTGATGTCCTCTGAGGCGGCATAGCAATATTGATACTTTTTTCCTTGGAAATTTTCATTGATTCTAGGAAGCTCCAGAGGAAACTTACGTTTTGAAACATCTCGTTCAACAACCTCCCCTGTCATATAATACAGTGTGATGTTAAGCAAAGTGGAAATCCGAGACTCATGGAAGTAGAGAATTAAGATATTGAGCAGAACCTTCAAACATGTAAATTGGTTACTTGATGTCTCGGAGGTTATACTTCGACCACACTTGACTGTGCCTTCAGTCTTAGACACTATTATTTCACTCAGTAGATTTTATTGTCATGAGTATACACTATGCGATGAGAACACTGGCCAGTCAGCCTGGTAAACAGGCTCCATCTCATAAAGAGTTCTACTTAGAGGTGGCACTTTTACGATTAGTGTACCTGTTTTGAGGTTAAGCCGCCACTCATGTAGGCGTTCATAAAGCAAGCCATCTATGGATGGATTTTTGTCCTCAAAGTTGTTCTGATGATCAAGAGTCATTCCCCGTGCATACCATTCCAGCTTACCGACACCTTTAGGAACTGACATGATCTGAAGAAGGCGAGTGACCAGTGCATGCACCACTATCTGTGCAAACAAAGCAGAACGTGGATATTAGACATATGTGGATATTTCACAGTCTGAATAGCGTGTTCCACCATAAGAATAATGGTGGAACACGCTATTCAGACAACCATTATTCTTATGGTTTACGTGCATTTGAATCTTTTACAGACCGCGAGACAAATTTGTAGGAAATGAACAGAACTTAATTGAGCCAGATGTCAAACTTCTCTACTTTCGTGGGGTAGTTTGGAAGTTTCTCTAGTTTCCAACGCATTTTCGTGCCAAAAGTGAGATAAATTGAGATAAGTTCTCTAGTTTCCTATAATGGAAGACCCCTAATAAGTTGAAAGTAGAATGCACGTTATCAACATACGATACAATGATATGTCCAATTGTTTTGACCTCAGACAGAATACGTGGGAGACACGAAATGGGAAGCAATAATCACCTCGTCTCCTTCTTGGTAGCTATTACAGTGATGAGTTATGAAAGCCATATCTACATCGAACCATTTGATTGAATCCTGGTCGCCGCCGACAGGTATGACTCCAATTCGAGCATAAGAGTTGGATTCGGCAGACAACATGCTGTACATCGGTAAACCATGACGATATCATTTAGATACGTGATACTGTTTTATGCTGTAAATCTTGATGACTAATCAGATTAGCAACCGAGTATAGTATGGCAATGTGTGTACTCACGATTTTCCTCTCAGCATCATATTGTACACGTCCATCACGAGGGGGAAATCGTACACAATTATATGACTGCAGAATCACATGAAAACGATATATCAGACCGAAAGAGAAAGTCAGAATATAATTTGATTCGCTTTTGTCAAAATTCACAATCTGAATCTTATTAATTTTCCATTTCGCACGACCAACCTTTGGGTGATCCCGATGTCATGCATGAGAACAAGCCTGTCCAAGCCAAGATCGACCTTGTGTGTTATCTTCTGCCCGTCATCTGCAATGACAAATTTTACAAAATTCAGTAGTTGTCGCACAGAATTGCGGATTTTAACCCGAGAGAAGGGTCAAAGCTCGAAAACGATTCACGAGCACTGCGCAAATGCTGGGACATGTAAAGACGTACTGGACAGGATGCCCATGACATAATACGGTTTATAAATGTCGAAACCGTAAATTGCCATCTCTTTTGTATCTGGAAATATCTGCATTGCATCGGACCGAGAATAGCATCAGTTTGAGTCCGTGTGATACGTGCTAAACTTCAAAGATTCTCGAATAAACGCGTCAGAAGCAAGATCCCGCAAAGTTACTGGATTACCGCGAGTTCACAGAAAACGTCAAGGATTGATCAGAAAGTCGAACACGTGACTGTCAAAATTCAGTGCCGGAGAAACTCAGTCCAGATCTTCACAACGGACGAACCTTAGGATGGGGACCGAAGAATCGCCGGTCCCACTGTCCGTTGCACCTGTATTCACCCTTCGTGCTCAGATCGGAAAGGTCGATCTCGTACGCCTCCCCTCCTTCTACAGCGGCCACGATTCGCCCTCCGTGCTCGAATATCGAAGTGTTTCCCGAGTTTCGCTGCATTTTTCCTTGTCGCATCTGGCACCTCCAACCATCACAATTCCACAAATCAGAGGTTGCCTGAGTCTGATTCATCCACTTCAAGTACGCTGATGTACTTGCGGAATTCAGAGGGGACTGGACACCTCACATACCAAGTTGATGATCCGGTTCAGTAGAACACCAGGAACCGACTGCTCGTCCATCGTCGGAAGGTAAATCCATCTGCCCTTCTCTTGCTCGGCCTTGAAGGTGTCTGTTTCCACGTACTTGTTTTTATACCAGATGCTTCCGTCTTTCTCGAAGTAGGTCGCGTGAAGCATTCCCTCGCCTTCGAACCAGCTGTACAAAATCTTCCCATTCACGAGCGGCATGTTCAAGTTCTGGTGAGCGCCGAATTTTGGGTTAGGCCCTGCGATCATTCCGGGGACGGACCCAAGCGAATTCAGATAAATACTCCGAGGGTTGAAGTTTCTTCTGAGCGTCAATTCGAAACTTGCTTGCACGACGTCATGAATTCAATTATGAAATGATGTCTGCCTGGATAGATCCAAGTATTTATCGCATGCAAGGGCAAGACGAGTGAGATTTCTCTGTGACCTGACTATAGCAAGACTTGTCTCCGAGAGGCGGCTTAATTAAAACAGGGTAGCAATAAGAATCACAAGTAAGGGTACCATTTCTGACGTAGCAGCCTGGAGGGAAGTCCTTTGGAACCTGTCCCTCGATCACTTGAACGCGGACTTTGTCTCCAATCTCGGGCACCGGAGCAAAATTTCCCTGATACTCAAGTGAACGTCAATATATAATGAAATTCATCGTGGAGATTGGGAAGTTAGATTTTATGTATATAAATTGGGGGAGAAGGTAAAAGAGAATAAAAGGAAATCAGTAAAATGTTTCTGAACGATCTCTGTTATATTTCTTCGATGCGTTGGCACGTGCACGTGAACGGCAGAAATTCCAAAGTAGAACATATATGATATTTCCTGGGCACATATTGCTCACCTCTATTAAGTCGGCTGGTTCGTCCGATGGTATAAAGAGGCGGTCGACGAGATCAGTCATGGCAACGTCATACGCTCGGAGTACTGCCTTCGACACCAATTCTACATTTTCTCTATGTTTTCGCATCAAGCTCTGCATGCACCAAAGGGACAGGGTATGTTAAAACACTGAGGACGCGTGGACTTGATTTGTAAATGATGTAAGATGTCTACGTGATTGTAGTTGTACAACGCAGCCTCAGGAAACTCTTCGAATCATTTCTGAAGAAATGATAAATCTCCCAGAAAACAGCTGTAAACTGGATCCAGCAATCATTAAGTTGAGATACTCAATTAACTTCCATGCCTCTCAAGGAAGAACACAGATATTTGGAAGAAAAAATTGAAGTTACAGTTCTGCTGAAAGTTATTAATTCATCTGACAACTTCTTGAGCAGCACTGCGATGACAAAGTGAGATGGTCGACGCACAGAGTGGATCGAAAGTCTGACGGTACCTTCAAAGAATCTGATAGCGCTTCAGGAATCGGTTGAATTTTCACCGTAGGATTCTTCTTGGAGCCTGCTCGAGATGTTTTCGGGTCAGCACTCTTGGGCCCCCACTTTGCTCCATCTTTTGGTGATGTGCCACTGCGCTGTTTCTGACTCAGTGGCGCCCTTCGACTCTCTGGAGTCTGCTCCTGCTCCATCCAAAACAGTGAATACAATCATTCACAAAGAAGAGATCCCTCACGAAAATGTGATAACCATCTTCTCCGCTCTATGTATGCATCAGGAACGCAACATTCTCTCGAAGACTGACGTTCTGACCTTCAGAGGTTGGCTGGTTTGTTTCGAAACGGTAGTCGTCAGTCTGATGCTCGTTGCAGCCAGAGATGCCATGAGCCTGAAGTGTGGGAAGTGACTTCGTCAATCTGATATACTTGTTCAGTCCTCTTGCACCACAAATTGATCAAAGAACGCGATGCTATATAAACCCTGCACTTGCTTACGATCGGACCTAACGACTTTTCCGTTCAAATGCTTCGATATTAGACCTGCAGTATGATGATCCAAGATTGATACCTGTATCAAAAACTTATGTCACGGACGACTGAAAATCATTCTATGAATAAAGGAATTATGTCTAGTTCTAATAAATTATAGATATCTCGTTTGCACAGCGGGCTCTTGAAGGTGTCGTGGTGGCTTCATAGCTCACGTCTGCAGCGAGTGTACTCATAAGTTGACAGATAGCATTTTTTGTTCCTTAGGACTCAGTTTGACAGTTCCTCTGTAGATTCCACGGAAGCTATACGGACCATAGGAATCCAGCAGAGAGACTACTCCGATCAGTTATCAGTCAGCTATTCGGAAGGATGCCAAACACGGAACAAATTTCTGAATATAATTCATAGTACCTCAAAGAGAAATTTTGGTTCAGCCCTGTGAGATTCGTTATATACGTGAAATTTCGGTGCAGATAGCCTGTGATTCATATGACGAGAGTTGTCCAAATGGTATGACTTGAGAGTTGAATGAAGACTTGTGTGAGATTCTTACCTGAAGAGTTTGCAGTATTTGGAGATCCAGTTCAAGGAGAAGTCTCCGACGCTCGGGCGAAATTATGGGGACTGTTGAATTGAAGCATGCCCGTAGCAACAGGGAGCGGAAAATTTCCTTAATAATCTGGAACAGCAGTGGCAGGAGTGATCTGGCAGCCACCGCTGGCACGGGAGTTAAAATGCCCCGTCGGTTTGGACAGGCCGTTAGCAGATCCCTCTGCTCGAGACCAAACAAAGACTCAACCGGAACTGCTGTTCCTCTACTTTCAGAGATGGTTCTGAGCCTCCCGATTGTTCTCAATATATGCTTTGCCTGACGACAAGAGGGTGGACGGAAGCTCAATTCGTTCAACGTGGCGTACTCGTATGAATCACTTGAGCCTTATATAGAAAGTGCAGATGGGCGTGCTAGATTTCATCACTAGTTCACTTTGATTCCCCGTAACCTGAAATTCTTCTTGCTCTAGAATGCAATTTACTGGCTGGGGATCTACGTCACGTGATTGATACTCCATACTAGGCTTTGAACCTTGTTACTTGCGTTCACTGGGGTTTACTGTCTCCACATGTCACTAACTTAGCATCGTTCACTTTCATTGCCTCGTTACGTGGATGGAAATGGACGTGTCTGATACTGTTGCTTTGCAATAATTCACGTACGCAGTACATATATTTCGCAATATCCACTTCTGCTCCTCAAAACGGCTCAGATCTGACTGACCTGACACCACACTCTCGGTGTGGCTCCCATGAATCAGGAACTTTTGTCTCAAGCAAAGGACGGACACATGATGTATCACATAGTACACATGATACCATAGACATGGACAATATTCAAGTCAAATCACGAGATGAAATGCGTGAAATTTTATCACATATCTTTCAGTAAATCATGGCGAATGTCGTCGGATTTTTTACCTCTTATCGTATAGCTTTAAAGAGAGTATTATCGAGTTGATGCCTTTTTCCTCAACTAAGTATTGGGTTAAACACCTCATATTAACATACTCCTGTGAACTGCATTTGTATACGAGGAGACCAGAACAAGATACTGTGAATTCAGTGGATAAATTTATATTTCAAGAATGCTGTGCGACTATTCCTATCATATCCAATGTCTCAACTCCTTCTCAACTATTTCCATCACTTCATTTCTTGGTCCACGAGACACTACTTTATCATCTTCTTCTAAATTAAAAAGGAAAAAATCTACAACAGATTCTTAGTTGCAGTGTAGGCTCATTTACACACCCTTCCATTTCGAGCTTTTTTTCTTTTCGAAATTGAAATATATCTGTACACTTTTAATCTGGCCACTTGCCAGACGCAAGAGGCTTCTTCGATGTTCTGTCACTCTTTTAATAAAAGGAATACCTCATCGTCCATATTTAACGATATTATGACTCCACTTCTCTTCTCTCTCTGCAAGGAAAAATAAAATTACCTTTGTCATTCAAAAAAATACTATACACGAGTTCATTTTTGTAAAAATCCTTCAATTAGAGGTGAAAATTTTTAGATACAGAATCAAAATGTGTGTCATGTGTATCACATGATACACATGATACGCACATTTCAGTGTCAAATCATTCGGACGTGTCTGACATCGGTACTGTGCAATGGTTCATGTATGCAGTGCAAGTTCTAAAAGGCCAAATGATTGCTGTTCCCCCTTAGTTATTATACCTGATGTGGCAGAGATATATTCTAATGATCTTTCAACACTTCATTCGATAAATTGCACTGTGTCTGACTTCAGCGATGCCGACCACGGCGAAACAAATCCTTATGGGTCTGAACATTTCTTATATTTTTAACTATAAATTCAAAGTGTCCGCGAGCTGAATTCGTTCCATGGAAAACGAAAGTGAAATGGTGGTCGGTAGTGTAATTTCTTGTTATCAGTGAGATCTTAAATGCAAGTGGAGCGACGTCGATCCGGCAAAACCTAATGATCATAGCCCTCTAAATCTTTTGTAAACAATTTGTGGTGTTCAGCAAAATGATCTTGGAAATACAGTTCGTTGACGAGGAAATCGTCATTCAAGAGTAAAATAAAAAAGCAAAAAGAAGAGTAATATAATTAAAGGAGAGGAAGACACTATGAAGTAGCAGAGTCCAACATTTAACTTCAAATCTGTATCCAGACCATCAACCTCAACCTGTGCCCACCCATGCTATTCAACTTACGCCAATTGTGTTACGTGTATTACCCGGCTACACCAATTCTTGGTTGTATCTGACAAACACTGCCCATAACATTACTTGTGCCCACCCATGGAAAAATAATGTGACCCAAAACCCATGGGCATGGGTGGGTTTGGGCATGGGCACCCAATGTTGGGCTCTGTGAAGGAGTATAGGGGTGAAATCAACCCCCAAGATGTAACTATGATCCAATAGCACAAGATTAAGAAATATGCACTACTACACGTAAAATGACCGCACCGTCTAGGTTAAACCCACTACATCATCCAAACAAGCATCACATGACGTCATTAATTTCTACGGTGTTCGAAGTGGGGACTCAAGAAAATTAGACAGACGCCCCCTAAACAAAAGATTTACAAAAATAGTGTTTGAAATCACACAACAATATCAATTTCCACACACTTTTGTATGATATGTCCATGCAAGCACGGATACGAAAGTGCCAGTCTCTGTCATGAGTGAAAGCCCGTAGAAGCTATAAGCTAGCCATCTCACGTTTATAGTATATTCATCAAATAAACATGTATACAGCAATCTGGGTAAAAGAGCATCATCGAGGAGCCATGTCATCTGCATGGCAATGTTTGTGTGTTTTGTGGGTAAGGGCTGTCGTCAAGAGAGATGAGTACTGGATTAGTCACGACCCTCTCGTCAGGTTTAGTTCATCATCGCAGATTACATTTACTTCGTTCATTGCAGATTCAGCCCCTCGATTGCACATAAAGGAGAACTGGCAGTCGATTATGATTATGCGCACGGCAAGTTTCCATCCCGGAAGTCTGGACGTTAACGGTGTACGCCTCGTCACAGACTTGCGTCCTACACATCCACTTGAACCTCAAAGCATAATATCATTGTCTTCGCCACTATCTTTCACTTTTACAGTTGCGGGAGTTAGGGGAGACGGAACAGAATGTTACGAGTAATTGATGAGTTTTGCACACGTTCGAATAAAGGTAACTCGAGACTGAATACTTTCTTACTTTATTGTTCAACTTTGGCTGCATCAGTGCATAAATTATGCGCTATTTGATTTTATTTAAATTCTCAAGTGAGTGTCTGCATTTGAACCTGTTTTCTTCCAACCCATTACCACGTAGGGCGCGATTGAATGCTGTTACGGGCCTTGTCTGTTAATATCTCTTATAATTAACAAATTTGTTGGGCTCTCTTTACCCAATGTTTATACTTTACTTTGGTTTCGGTGGCTCTAGTTGAATTTATATAATTAATGATATTTTCAGAAAAAATAGAGCAGAGAGGTTTAAGACTTAAGGGCTTTGTAAGCTTATATTTGGTCATGTGGGGTGGGATGTAAGTTTGTGGTGGGACAAGATTCATGATAAAATGACATGTATTCTTATTCCTGTCATTTTGTGCTAGTTATTGTTTTGCTCTGCATCGTGGGGCCGTCTAGAGTGGTATATTATGCTTAATGTTCTATGTATCCTTGTCTCTTTGCCAATCAGAGGAAAATACCTAGATAAGAAAGAAACTGCACGATAATTAGAATGTGATCTCTAAAGATGCACATATGATGTCTAACATCAGCTCAATAATTAAAGAATTCAAGTATCACTCAAATGTGTTTGATTATGAGCTTTTTGATAAGAGATCCTTATATACACGCTTATGCGATTCACTTCATCCTGAGCTTTATGACGAGGTTGGATGATTTATTTCTTCTCGTGTTACAATAAATGGAGATGATAGCTAGATTATAAGAGATTCGTAGCATGTATTTGGCTACTTAATATAACGCATCTATATATCACTCCCTTCCTGTCAATATTGGAGTTTGTCTTTGCGCAAACTTCAAGAAGATGGATAGTGGATCTGGGTTATGATTTTTCAAGCTTTCATTTATACCTTACCGACAACAACAACAAATTTTCTTTGATTATAACCATTTGCACTTATTTTCATGATTGACATCTGAATGAGCATCTGTGTAGATGTAATATCTAAACATATAACTTTTTATTTGATTTGGATAACATTGCATATTTATTTATGGTGATATTATAGATGTGATGTTTGACAAGGCATAATTATAATAAATTTTCACCTGTGTAATATTTCATTATATTTATTTAAGATAAACAAGAGCCAATATTTCATGACGATATTCTATATAATATATTTCAAATTATTATGTATGTCTTTTAAGGAGTAAAATAACAAAATCAAAGTTTGCAAGTATATGAATAGGTATAACGACAACCTATTAGTTTCTTCGAAGTCAAGGAGATTTAATGGAGTTTGACTTTGGAACGCTAGTGTCTCACAGCCCACCGTACTATCAGGTAATCAATATAAATGTTATAGAAAAGACTAGCTAGTAAAAAGCTTTTCATGGCAACTAATAAAGGTGAAGAAAGTTTTAGTTCTAAATAGTCTACTTTACTTTTCTCATGTGATGTTTATGGAGCCTAGCATCATTTCAAGCCATCAGTTTCATCCTTGTTCTACTCATGAAGTATCGTCATCTGTTTGATATACGTTCGTTTCATTCTCTTCTAGTATGACATTATCAACAGATTAAGATCATTATTTTATTCCATTGGCGGCGCATGTCTGAGAAGATCTGCAAATGGTTGATTTGGCATAAACCGACAAGATTCCATGAGCTCTGAACGACCTACGATTACGCCAAATATTAAACCAGCTTGTCGCATGACCCTCGACATTTTGTTTGGCCAGTCTATATACAAAGCAAAGAAGAGAAGGAACCTTCGACATGTGCCGAAGAAATATGTTAAAGCCAAAAGAGTCAACATGAAGAAACTCAGAGCTTCAGGATCACGAGGACAGAGGAAGGGTCAAAGAAATTTATAGACTCGTAATTAGAGCTTTGACATGAAGAAGTTTTCTTGCTGGGAGTGATGATGGAGTTTGTTCACCGTTGTTGCCGACATATTTTATATATATATATATATATATTGTCGAATGTATTGCACAGTGTACATTCCTGCTGTGAGCAGAATACACGACATTGTTATGCTGGGAATTGCGTCAGAGCTGCATCAAACAAGTCTCGACGTGTAAAAGCACCACATTTGAGGCACCACTCTGATAGAGTGGTCAGTGGAAAAAACTTGCAAGTTCGTTATGGTTTCTGTGCACAGCTTTGCATCAGAAGCAAAATTAGCACGTAGTGACTAGAAATCACCAAGAGGAACTGCATTAGAACTATAAATCACCAACTTAGGCAACTAGAATATGGATAATACTTGAGAAGAATCTGCTAGCCACAAAGGGTATCGTCAAATGGTCTACATAGTATCAGATTAACTTCTTAGTCAACTAACAATTTACCTTCGATTGAGTCCGATTCTGTTTACTCTTTAATCACATGCGAGAGCGAGCATCCTGCGGACTACAAATTTTACCCAACTTGTGCTCATGTCCACGCGAGGCTTTATCTAATGGGGTTGAAAATTTGACGTGAAGAATCAGAAAGTAGA